AATTAGGTCCAGTTAGGGGAGGGATGGAGAAAATAGATGGGGAGGAGAGAGAGAAGGGAAGGAGAGAGGAATAAATAGGAGCGGGGCGGAGGGGAGGAGGAGGAGTAGACTGATAAGTAGCGCTGCTCTGTGAGCCGCAGGGATGTTGGAGAATCCTGGACCATGATCCTGTCCTCCCTCCATATCCTCAATCTCTGGAAAGGAGAAGACTGATATAAGGAAATGGGGGGAACTACTAGGGACCAGAGTTTGACTGTGGAAAACTCTTTTGAAATAACTGATCTGAGAAGTAGATGGAAAGTTTCTGTTTACCAAAGGAGACAGAAGCCATCATGGTCGGTGGTCAGCAGAGTAAGAAGGCACAGCCAGTGGTGTGACCACTGCCATCACCCCCTGATGCATTTGAAGGTGTCTAGGTCTTCTGTTTTAGAAGTGGCAGAGTATCAGAACTCTCTCAGCTGCAGGCGACAGAAGACTCAATTCCAACTGTATTAGATAAAAAAGATTCGGCCAGTTAATGTAACTAAAAAACCCATTATGAGGTCTTCAGGTACACTTTGATCCAGAGACTCAATAAATGTCAGAAAGATGATCCTCCTCATCATATTTTTTAAAGATTTATTTATTTATGCATACAAGAGCTGGGGTACAGGCCAGAGGTGCAGGGGGTGAGAGGATTCACCAGAGACAGAGTGGGGAACAGAACAGGCAGTTTGCCTGAAGTACACTGTAGAGGGGAGCAGTGGGCGAGGCAGGAGAGGTCTGCTGCGCCATGTGAGTAGCTCCCTGGCCGGCCAGGGGAATCAAACTTGTGCTGCAGTGGCTGCGGACAGCTTCATAGGTTTGTCTTAACCCCTTGCACTACCAGGGAGACCCCACCTCATCATACTGAAGTTCTGCTTTCTGTAATGTCTTCATTCTCAAGCAGCTCCGCTCTACATGGTTGCAGAATCTCCACACTTACATCCTCACAAGTGCAAACTCTGTGGGAAGAAAATTTTCATTTGTTCAGCAAATGTCCCAGGATTCATCTTTATTCGACTAATTTGGTTAATGCTCCCCCTGCCCCCACTCCCAGCAAGTGCTGATTGACTAAGTCTGAGTCAAGGATATACTTTCTGGAACCCACAGTTAAGTTCCTCTGAAAACCATGTGCTCTGTGATTGCAGGAATTGTGGTTCCCTGAAGGAGAACATGGGAAGTAAATGTGTATTGGATAGACGAAAGTGCCATCTGTCCACGTCAATCTCCAGCAGGGCACAGGAAAAGACTCACAAAGCCTGGGGGGCAGCCTAGGTTGCATTGACAAGGTGCTGGTCCTGTCCAGGTCCTTGGATTACTGGATTGGATACTCCTTGGTTTCAGCTACACGGAGACAGGATTGGAGCTGGCATGTCGAGGTGACTGATGTCATAACCTCCCAACCACTCTGGCCCCAGGGGCCCCATTTGTGATTTATTGGTAATAGGCCTCATTTGGCCTACTCCCTTGGCTTCCTCCAGCTGTTTTTCTCCCTCTGATATAAAAATAACACTTAAACAGTATCCCCACTCCATGTCCTAGACTAATCAGCGTATCCAGGGATAGCAGTTAAATTCACCCTCGGATCAGGGGGCAGGATCTTTATTACACCCAGTTCTATGAACAAGCCAAGAAGTAGGGTTTCAAGAAATAGGATACCATGACCAAAGACTAAAATCAAACATCCAAGGAGTATTTATTTCCCAACAAAGGCCAGTGCCTTCTGATTTGCTCTGCCAGAGAGGGTGGGTGGGGCCAGGCTGGCAGCAAGCACCCTGTGGGTCTCTGAGAGGCAAAGGGCAGGGGCAGGGGCAGGGGCAGGACCAGGCCAGACAGAGACCTCTTGTTTTACAACTGGAAAATCACTGTGATGTTAATGCTGAGCAGCACTGCCCTCTGCCTCCCAATGGGACCCCTACTCCTGCCACCTTTGATACAACCCATGAGCTCACTGCAGAAGAGACAAGAGCCCCAACCCCAGCTGCCCCTGCCTGCCTGTTGAGGACCCTGGTAGCTGGACCCTGGTAGGGAGACTGGAAGCAGGTGGTGAGGAAATCATAATAACCACTTACTGAGCATATGTTACATGCCAGACCCGTGTTTTACTCCCATTAAGCTTGGCAGTTAAGGGTGGGGCAACAGAGTCCAGAAACGCTGGGTCAACTCTCAGGTCCGTCTCGCTAGCTTTGAGATCTTGATGAAGTTACTTAATGTCTTTGTGTCTCAATTTTCTCACATGTAAAATTATAATAATAAAAGTTTTCACTACACAGGATTGTGAGGGATTACCCAGGACACCGCACACGTGTAGATGTTAAGCGCCGTGTAAGTGGGAAGGATTAGTACACACACGTGCTATTGCTCACCCCACTCGAGGCTTTGATGTAAATGTGTTAGCTAGAGAGGTGTGGCTGCTGCGGCAAAGGTCGGATTTGTCGGTGGCTTAAACAAGATAGTTTATTTCTCTTTATAACACACAACACCAGATATAGAGCTAGGTCAGCATATGGAAGTCCTAGCATTTCATCTTCCACCTTCATCTTCCACCGCTGGGCTCACACGACAGCTTCAGCTCCCACCATATTATCAATTTCAGCTAGTAGTGTAGGGAAAACCTGCCCCTTCCTTCTGAGGTCAACTTTGAGTTTGCATGTAACATTGCTGCTCAGATCCTGTTAGCCAAGCTTAGGCATGTGGCCATGTTATCTGTAAAGAAGCTAGGAAGGGGGCTTCCCTTGGTGGCGCAGCAGTTGAGCACTGGGCTGCAAAGCTGCCCACAGCCTCTGCAGCGTCAGTTCAATCCCCAGCCACTGGCGAGGGTCCCACATGGCGCAACAGACCTCTCCTGCCGCGCCCGCTGCTCCCCTCAGCAGTGTATTTCGTCAGTCTGCCTGTTCTGATCCCTGCTCTGGCTCTGGTGAATTCTCTCACCCTCCTGTGCTTCTGACTGTACCCAGTGCTTGTATAAATAAATAAATAAATCTTAAAAAAAAAAAAAAAAAAGAAGCTAGGAAGGGCCTCCCTGATGGCACAAGGGGTTAAGACGGAATCTATGAAGCTATCTGCAGCCACTGCAGCACAAGTTCTATCCCAGGCCAGGGAGTTACCCACATGGTTCAGCAGACCTCTCCTGGATCGCCCCCTTCTCCTCTCAGCAGTGTACTTCAGTCAATCTGCCTGTTCTGTTCCCCACTCTGTCTCTGGTGAATCCTCTCACCCCCCACACCTCTGGCCTGTACCCCAGCTCTTGTATGCATAAATAAATAAATCTTAAAAAAAAAAAAGAAGCTAGGAAGTAAATCTTGCACTTAGTTAAATTGAGAGCATTTACTAATAGAGGAAGAATTGATATTGCCCTGCCAGAGTCCACCACTTATCTACCATATGTTCAGAGGCACCTGGAGTCTGCCCAGAAGCTTTTATACTCGTTTTACATTGTGGAAACGGGCTTGGAGAAAATGAGCAACACTTCCCAAGGTCTTACAGCAAGTAAATGCCAGAGTGTGAATTTTAAACAGAGCCATTTGACCCCCAAATCAGGTTTTCACATCGAGCAAACATCTTTTGGTCACCAAGGTGCCCACTGCTTACTTAGAGATCAAAGATATTCACACAACTATAACTTAACATGCAATTGTTGCATAAACGCCAGCACAGTCTGTCCGGAGATGTGTTCACAGAACATGCAATCAGGGAAAGCTTTCTTAAGGAGGAGGCCCTGCTACCAGCCCTATAGGGTGGAGCATGTCTAAGTTGGAAGGGAAAAGGAGTATTGGAGAAGGCAGTGATGTGAGCCGAGTCTGCGAAGGCAGCCTGAGCACAAGGAAGGTGGGAGCACCCCAGGTCCAATGCGTCACTTATCTCTAGGATGGGCCGCTTGATCCTTCCACCATTTGAGGCACCCCATTAACCGTGCCTTAGAAATTCCATCATGTGGGACCAGACAGGAATCCATCACAAGGGCCCCATGGAAGGAGAGCTGCATGCACCGCATCTGTCCAAGGCAATGTGGAAAGGCAAAGTCCCTCCCCTGCTCTGTCTCCTCCACCCTCCCCATAAACAGACCAGGGGTTTTGAGGGATGATGAGAAATATATTCATTGAATTCAGCAAGAAACCTAGTATCCTTAGGAGTGTCTACTCTGGGGCCAGGGCCTGGGATGGAAGAGATTGGAAGGAGGGAGAGGAAGGGAGGGGCAGAGAGAGGAGAGCTGGAGCAGCTGGGTCAGCATTCCTGAATTGGACACTGACTCAGGGCCCAGGAATGCCAAGGAAGGGGGGGTGGGCAGCCACTAGAGCCAGGCTGGGATCCTATTGGCACCAGGACATGTAGGGACAACACACATAGCAGGATGGGGGGACCAGCGCCCCTGCACACCTGGACCTGCCTCCCAAGCACAGGTAGAAACAGGTGTCTCTGTTTCTCACCCTGTGGGCAGGTAGAGACCCCTCAATCCCACTGCACACCTTTAAGGTGATCCTTATAGCTCCCACGTGCCCAAATCACCTCCACCTCCTCCCCCAGAGAGAGAAAGAGACTGTGGGACGACATGGGAACCTCTAGACACACACTGGCCACTCCCAGCACCACCTGCACACCCCTTTTCCCCAGTCCCCCACCGGCTGTCCTCTCTAGCTCCAGCCCACCCTACGGAGTCTGTGCAAGGGAGAAAGTGAAGCTCCACCACTTTCCCGCCTTTGGTGCCTGACCAGGATGAAAGAGGCCTGAAGAGCAGGAACTCAGCACACTGAGCACCCACCTCTCCCCAACCCGGTGCCCACTCAGTGTTCCAAGTCACCTCCCTCGCAGCAGGGTTCAGGTTTGTCGGAGACTCAGGGGGTGACAAGGACTAGGAATCAAGACTCCAGGTGGGCCCCTCTCCTCCCCACCCCGCCCCCACCCTGCAGGGCCGGAGCAGCTGAGCGGGCGGACCCTCCCTCTCTGCTGCCTGACACCCAATCAGAGAGAAACTGATCCGGGGCAGGCCGGGGCCAGAGGCCAGGCCCAGAATAGTGCTGCCCAGCCGCAGTGTCTTGCTCTTTGTTGGTCCAGGCTGGCCGCATGGAGCCCGAACTGGAGAGCGCGCTGCCCACGGTACAGGGATTCTGGGGGGGCCGGCCAGGACTCCCCGCAACTGAGGACGAAGGATTGAGAGCACACCGTGTGATTGTGTGTGTATGTGAGTGTGAGCGTCTTGGTGCGTGTGGCCTGGGTCTTCTGTCTGCGAGTACGGGCGTCTGTGTGTACCCCGTTTAGAAGTGAGCAGGCGTGATTCAGTGTGTGTGTCTTGAGCACGTGTACGCGTGTATGGGGTGCATGTTTCTGCATCTGTTAGTGGGAGTTCATGGGTATGTGTGTGTGTGTATTTGTAGGGGGGGTATGTGCATGTATTTGTGGGGGTGTGTATGTGCGTGCATGAGTGCACACACGTGTGCATGTGCACTGTGGGAAGGGGAAGGCCTTTGGTTTGAGAGCATAGGGTGTTTGCCCCACCCCTTCAGACATGTTGCTCCCCACAGACCCCATCCTGGAGCAGCCTTGGGGTACCAGAGCATCAAGGTAGGTGGGGTTTCCCCTTATGGGCCTAGCCTCCTCTCCCCATTCCTTTATCCCGGCCTCTGTGGGCCCCATTAGTCCCCCCAGGCTGGCTTTTGTCTTTCTCCCTTTTCCTTCTTTGTTCTTTGTTTCTTCCTCTTCTTTTCCCTTTTGGAAGAAGAAGGGGTGGGGGAGGGAATCTAGAGTCTAAAGAATTGAACCCCAGTCCTGACTTTACCATCTACTAGCTGTGTGATTTATGGCAAATTGCTCTCTGGCCTCAGGTCCCTCATTAGTAAAATAAGCGTGATAATCGTGTCTCCTAAGAGTGCTATGAGGTTTGAATGACAAATACTCTGGAGAAAAACCCTTTGGAAGCTTGCAAGTATTATATATTACTATTAATAACATTTAATGGATTTTGTTCGATTAATCCCTATTAGCCAAACAGATCCCCTTCTGCTTTGCAGAGATGGACTTCCTAGGGCAAACAGATAGCAATTCGTGGCCATCTCTGGCTGTAACCACCAGTTCAGAAAGAAGCCAGGGGAGACGGGGGGCCAAGGCCTTGAGATGGACAAGGCAAGAGGCTGTGGAGGAGGAAGACCTACCAGGCCTGGAGGAAGGTGAGGCCAGGACCTGTTCTGGGGAGGGGGTGTGGGGACAGTAGGATGTTCCAGAGCCTGGGCCAGGGCTCTGTCCTGGATGCCTCCATAACACAGAGGACCCAACTCTCACCTCATAGCCTCAGTCTCTCCATAGGGGAGAAAACAACAGGCTTGCAGACCTCGGGGCCCAGCATGAGCTACTCAGTAAAAAGGGACAGAGCAACTATCTTGTAGGGCTCTCTGAGTCTCGGTTTACTCACCTGCAAGATGGGAGCCACAGTGAGAATGAACTGACAGTAGCTGAGAAAGTGTCTTTGGAAGATGGAGTTACTATCCTCTCTCTCCAAACAGGATCCCCATCCAGGACAGCTGCTGAGTCCACCAGGCTGGAGGCCACATTCCCTAAGGCCACACCCTTGGCACAAGCTGCTCCCATGGCCAGGGTGGACACCTCACCAATAGAATGGGACTTCCTCCCTCCTGACTGTGCAGCCTCAGCTGCTGTCACCAGGACTGGTAATCTGGGGCTGGGCAGAGAGTTCCCAGCCACGGCAGCCTGGGGGTATGAGCTGGAGAGCTTGGCAGCAGAGAGGCCTGGCCCATGCCCATCCCCACAGGCCCCGTTACCTAGACTGGGCTGGGTCGATGAACTACAGAAGCCGGAGGCCCAGGTCTACATGCACTTCATGCAGGAGCACACCTGCTATGACGCCATGGCCACCAGCTCCAAGCTGGTCATCTTCGACACCACGCTGGAGGTGAGCCCACTCTTCTGCAGCACCACCAGCAGCCACCACCTCTCACCCCCCTCCCGGATGCCCTGCCAGGCCGTGCCCTCCACAAGTCCCCTTCCAGGATCTCTTCTAGCACCATGGAGGCCAGTGTGGGGAGGGCGTTTACTCTCGGAGCCCCCCTTCACTGCCATCACAGCCACCGGTGTCTGAGGCATGTGGGTCGGTGACTGTATCTCTCTCAGCTCTAAAATGGGGATTAAATGCCTCCTTTGCTCTACAGGCTTCAGAAGAGTCTAGGGACAACCTCAGATAGATAGTAACACCTTTGAATCCCACAGTATGGGGAAAACATTACAGTGCCGCTTAAGACAAAGAGCACTGGGGCCTCCCTGGTGGCGCAAGGGGTTAAGCACAGCATTGTGAAGCTATCCACAGCCTCTGCAGCACAAGTTCGATCCCCGGCCTGCCAGGGAGCAACCCACATGGTGCAGCAGACCTCTCCTGACTCGCCCGCTGCTCCCCTCAGCAGTGTATTTCACTCAGTCTGCCTGTTCTGCTCCCCACTCTGTCTCTGCTGAATCCTCTCACCCTCCCACACATCTGGCCTGTACCCCAGTTCTTGTGTGCATAAATAAACAAATCTTTAAAAAAAAAAAAAGACAAAGAACACTGGACTCTCAATAACAGAAGCATTGGATGAGCTCTGGTGCCTCCTCGCCATTAGCCCAAGCTATGACTGAGCTGAGAATGCAGGTAGAGCCGGTTTCCCAAAGCAAGGTTAGGGATCTGATGCTGGTGACACATGAACAAATGCATTCATTTTAGTAGCTTTGCATTTATTTTAACATGTCTTAGAAATTTGCAACCAGAATGTCGGGATAGTATTGTTTAAGTATTGAGGCCAAAATGAGTCCATGTAAAGTTTATTTAGAGAAAAATATTTCAATTATGTGAATAACTATGTTAGTACTTAGATGAGAAAAACGACGCTGTCTGTATACCTCTGGCTTCCAAGTCAAAATGCTGGTCTGTTTCCTACACCCTGGTTGGGGAGGGGGCCTGAGGAGGGGGCCCCTCTGGGCCCTGGCCACAGCCTTACCTCTGCAGTAAGTGTGCCCGGCAAGGCTGTGTCCTGTGTGCCACGCCAGGAGCGAGCAGGTAAGCACATTGTCAAAGAGGCCCCATGGAGGGTCGGGACTCACCCCTCCGCTCTTGCCCCCCTCAGATCAAGAAGGCCTTCTTTGCCCTGGTGGCCAATGGTGTCCGGGCGGCCCCGCTGTGGGACAGCAAGAAGCAGAGCTTTGTGGGTGAGGAGGGGCGGGGAAGGTGGAGGTGGTGGGGCACGGAGAAGAGGGAACCACAAGACGTGATGCTGGGGCCGGCTCTGAAGCAACCCATGCTTGAGCAGACCCGCAGGCTGAGCCAAGCCCATGGTTTGGGGGCCCTCCCCCCGAGTCTGTGGTGGCCAGCTGGTAGGGAATGGGCCTCCATTGCCCTGTCCATGGAAGATTCGTGACCAGCTGACCCCTTCCGGCTCTGTACCCCGAGGTCCATGTGACGGGTGCTAAGTGGGTAAAGAGGAAAGGGAGGGGGGCAAACAGGAGACCGGAAATGGGGGACGGGACAGGGGAGAAATGAACGGGGAAGCAGAAAAGGAATAACTGGGGTTCTCAGGAAGGGCTGCCCCAATCTCCTTTTCCACGCCCCACTGTTGTGTCAGTGCTAGGACCTTGGTGGGGCAGGGGCTGGGTCTGACCACTCAAGATCCCAGGCTGACACCCCCACCCCTACACGTTCCCCCCCGCCCCCCGCAGGGATGCTGACCATCACGGATTTCATCTTGGTGCTGCATCGCTATTACAGATCCCCCCTGGTGAGGAGTGGGCTGGGAGTCCGGGGGGCACCCTGTGGCCTGGGTGGAAGGGATTTGGGGGAGACTGTGCCTGAGGGGCCCAAGTCTGACTTCCGGAGTCCTGTCCATGTCTTTAGGTCCAGATCTATGAGATTGAAGAACATAAGATTGAGACCTGGAGAGGTGAGTCGGCAGAGGGGTGGAGGTAAGGAGCTGAGGGCACGCGGGTGAGTGTGGGGCCAAGGCTCTGAGATGGAGGACAGGCAGCGGGGATATCCTGGAGGAAGCGGGGTAGGGTGATAGGAGCCCAGAGGCCTGGGGAAAGGAGCCAGTCTGGGGGCTGCTGGGCAAGACCAGGTACCCAGCTTTCTTGGCCTGACTCTGGCTTTTCCTGCAGAGATCTACCTTCAGGGCTGCTTCAAGCCTCTTGTCTCCATCTGTCCTAATGACAGGTGAGCACCGCCAGCATCCACCCTCAGCATCCTTGCCCTGCACACCCTCTCCCCCAATCCCTGGCTCTGCACTGGCTCCTGCCTCCATGGCTGGGAGGGGGGGTGTCTGCCCCCAGGCTGCCCCACGCTCACTACTACCACCTCTGCAGCCTCTTTGAAGCTGTCTACAGCCTCATCAAAAACCGGATCCACCGCCTACCGGTCCTGGACCCTGTGTCGGGCACTGTGCTTTACATCCTCACGCACAAGCGGCTGCTGAAGTTCCTGCACATTTTTGTGAGCTTGGGTCCAGCCCCGGGGGGTGACCAGAGGGGCTGAGATATCTTCAGCTTCTCAGCTGGGGACTGCCCACACTGATCACCACCCACCCCCAACCCAACCAGGGTGCCCTGTTGCCCCGGCCCTCCTTCCTCTCCCGCACTGTTCAAGATTTGGGCATCGGCACGTTCCGAGACCTGGCTGTGGTGCTGGAAACAGCACCTGTCCTCACTGCGCTGGATATCTTTGTGGATCGACGCGTGTCTGCGCTGCCGGTGATCAACGAAGCTGGTATCACACCCGGGACAGGCGCCCTGGGTGGGTGGAGTAGTGGGCATCCGCGGGTGCCAAGGTGCCAAGGTGGCATCAGGGAGAGAAGTCTCTGCTTGCTTTGTGCCTTGGACCAGTTCCTTAGCCTCTCTGTGCCTTTGTTTCCCCATTTATGAAGTGGGAATCTTAATAAAACCCACACTTCTAACTACCAGGATGATGTAAAATATTTTATGCAATAAAATGGGCATAATAAGAGAGAGGCAGAAGATGTTTACTTTTAGGTCATTCTAAAATGGGCTTTGATAGGGTGGGTCTCCACTCAAACCACAAGTTCCTGCTCTGAAAAAATAGGGGTTAGAGGGACTCCAAGATCATGTCTCTACTTGATCTATGGCTGAAACTATTCCAAAGCTAAGATCGCCATAATGAAGCTGGAGCTCAAGAAGTCTTTCTTTTTGATTCTGAAAATTTCCAATTCTACAAAAATAATAGAAAAACTACATAAAAAAACCCCATCTATCTATTGCCTGGATTAACTACTGTCAACATAGTACCATAACCGATTCTTTCTTTTTTTTCTGAAACAATTTAAGTTACAGCCTCATTTTACCTCTTAACACCCCAGTCTGCATCTCTCAGAATAAATGTATTTGTTATATCACCTAACAAAACTAAAAATAACATTGATATTATCTAGTATCTAATCTTTACTCTCATTTCCCCACTTTCCACCAAGAATATCCCTTTTTTACAGTTGACTACTCAAGCCAGAATCCAGTGAGGATCCATACTTTGCATTTGCTTCTTTTGTCCCCTGAATTCCCCCTAGTTAGAAGAGTTTCCTCCCTGCTTTATTTTCATGACACTGATAAGTGAAAATGCTTAGGTGAGTTTTCGCCTAGGATGTCCTACCTCCAAATTTATCTATTTGCTTTCTACAGGTGTTCTTTATCATGTCCCTCTATTCCTGTGTTGCCTGTAAACCAGAAATTAGAGATAAAGACTTGATCAGACTCAGGCTGTCCAGTTGAGGCTAGCACATTTCATAGGTGAAGCCACAAGTCATGATGCATGACATCAGGCTCTCTCTCTCTCTCTCTGTCTCTCTCACATGCTATTCGATTGCTTGGTCTGTAGCTTCAGGAAATGGCAACCTGATGCCTCATTATAAAGCCATTTGCATGGGGGGAGCGTGGAGAATGTGGAGGGGTTCATTCCAATACCCCACCCCAGGCACCCTTGTGTGGCATCCTGGTTCTGATGGGAACCTTGTCTTTTTCTCACCCCCCCTCCGCCACTGCTGCAGGTCAGGTCGTGGGCCTCTACTCCCGCTTTGATGTGATTGTAAGTGTCAGTGGGGATGGAGGGAAGCTGGCGGGCCACAGGGAAGCTGCTGGTATAAGGAACAGTGGTGGGGGTATCTATGGGCCGGGGGGGACTTTTGCATGTAGGGGGCAATATCTGCGGGAATTGGGGCTGGCAGAGGGCATGACTAGGAGTGGAACTTCCCTCCCGCCCCAGCACCTGGCTGCCCAGCAAACCTACAACCACCTAGACATGAGTGTGGGAGAAGCTCTGAGACAGAGGACACTGTGTCTGGAGGGAGTCCTGTCCTGCCAGCCCCATGAAAGTCTGGGGGAAGTCATTGACCGGATTGCCCAGGAGCAGGTACCCCGCCCCTCTGCACATACTTTCAGGGTGTTTGGCCCAGTTTTTCTTGGGAGCAGCTCCAGTCATCTCTTTACACCAGGCTTCTGCCTGGTCCTCCCATTTCATGGCCAAACTCTTGGTATCCACACTGGCCTGCACGCCTAGTCCTGTCCACAGGGTCCTCGTGCCCAGGGCCACAGCCAGCCGACCTCCCCGAGGGTCAGAGCCCTCTCTAACACTCTGGATCCCGCTGTGTCACAACTTTGGCCCATGGCTCTGGCCCCACACTGATGTCTGTGGGCCCACAGGTACACCGGCTGGTGTTAGTGGACGAGACCCAGCATCTTCTGGGCGTGGTGTCCCTCTCTGACATCCTCCAGGCACTGGTGCTCAGCCCTGCTGGCATCAGCGCCCTCAGTGCCTGAGAATGTCCAAGTCCTCACTCCAAGGGCACCTTCCACGCCCGGAAGCCGATGGCGGGAGCCGGGGGACTCAGCCTTCCTCTTCCTCCACTGTTGTTTGCTGGTTCAGCTCTGATTCAGGTAGGCGCTGCCCTGAGCTGCTGGCCCCAGTGCCCAGCCCTCTTCAGGGTCTTCCTGGGCTCCTCGATCTCAGACGGGGTCCGCTGGGGATGGTGGCCCCGCGCACAGCTGCCCTGCAAAACTGTGAGACCCACCGCAGGGCCACCAGTTCGTCCCATTCTCCGCTGAGGCCACGGGGGCCACGTAGCGGGGTGCATGGGGCTGGAGTGAAGGCAAGGGCAGGGGTGTCTTCATACACTCTGGGCCATTTGCAACTCAATCCCCACTGGCTTGGAATTCCTCTAGAAGGAAGCAACTTAATAAATCTTTGTGGGATGGAATTTCCATGCTCGGTAATAACTAAGGCTGAAAAAGGAGGGATCTTCTGCCTATCGTGCATATCTCAGTAATTTGACATCATTTAGTCATTTGCTAGAGGTTTACAGACGAGGTGGGGACAGATTCCACCTGCTTGGAGGTGGGCGATGGTCAGGCTTCCCCAGTGGAAAGGTAACCGCCCCTCTCCATGTCTCCAAATTCCCTTCTCTTTCCTCACAGCCTTCGCCAGCTCCCCCTACTTGCCCTTGTCTTGCCTGTGCTCCCAAAAGCCCTCAGGAATGCCCAGTGCACCAAGGGACGATGGAATGAAGGAGAACCGCAGCGTCAAGCCTGGAGATCTTGAGCCAGAGGCACTGGGGTTCCCCTAGGGTCAATTGCTTTATGCCCACCCATATTGCTTTCCCCCCACTGGGTCATGACTGGCCCAAGAGGGCATGAGCCAGCAGCCCAGCATTGATCAGGGGCTCTGGATCCCTCAGCTCTGGACGACCTGCCACTTGTGCCCCCAGCTCCCGGGAGGCCTGGCCCCGTCCCCACGAGGGGAGCCACAAGTGCCTCCTTCCTCCCAGGCGCTGTCTGTCATGCCAGGGCTGCCGGGGCCACCATGGGGCGGCAGTTCTCTGCCGAGCTGCGCGTGGGAGCAGACTGCGCCCTCCACCTCATCCTTAGCTCTCGCCCCCGAATGATGTTCTCAGCCCTCAGAGATGACCCTGTATTCGGATCACTGAGGATGGATGATCAAGAAAAAAACAAAACAAAAAAGGACAACCTATGAACTTGGATTTTATAAGTTTCACCCAGAAAATGCTCCAGTCATTTGATCTGAACTTGTGGCAAGGTCCCTATGCTTTCTGAATTCAAAGGCACAAAGGAAAACTCTGCAAGTGGCATTTCTTCTGTGTATAGGCTGTGACTCCACCAACAGGTCTTTTTCACCTTTTACCTTTTATTTATAACAAAACCATAAAAAATTATTCCTTACTTATATGGCAGGTATAATTCTTTTCACAAACTCTAATCTCAAAAAACATTTTTTGTGTGTGTGTGTGTGGGACCCTCGCCGCCGCCCGGGGATTGAACCGGCGCTGCAGAGGCTGTGGGCAGCCTCGCAGCCCCTCGCGCAACCACTGCGTCACCAGGGGAGGCCCTCAAAAAACATTATTTTTCCAACACATTATTTTTTTCATTTATGAACCCCTTTCACCATTACTCTGTCAATTTGGGTGCACCCCCCCACCTTTTCTTGGGATTAAGTTCAGCAAGGAGGGGAGGTTTGAAATCCTGTACGACTTCGTCCCTTGATCATCATCATCCACTCACACCAAAACCTACTGCCACACCCTTGCTCCCATCTGGTCGTCACTGGGCTGGCCACCAGCATGCGTGGTCTCTGCCAGTGCTCCCTCATTTCCCACCACTAGGGCCCTTTGAACCTCTGTTCTTGGGACACACAGGACATTCTAGCTCCCAGCCATGCACCCCTCAGGTCTCAGGAGGCTCTACGGGGGCCACTCCAAGCCCCTCTGCTGAGATGGCCCACGGAAGACCCACTCTACTCTGCACCTGTGGTTTTCCCAGGAAACGTGGGGCCCAGGGCCCTCTACCCGCATCATCTCCAAACCTATCTGCAGTATTTGTCATCACCAAGTCCTTTGGTACAACTCCCTCCTCAGGAACCCCAGAGCTGTCTATAGTCTCTTCACTTCCCCAATACCCTATAGAATATTTACCTAGTGGGGAAGAAGGGACCTTTATTCTTTAACCCATCATATATTTTCCCAAAGTCACTTTACATGTCCTGCGTTCTCGCCACCCACCTTAAGGGTCAGGCTTCTGAAATCCCAGTGCCCAGACTTGACTCCTCCTGTGTCACCCCACCTGGGGCCATGGACACGACAGTTCCAGCTGTTGAGTAAGGAGAGGGAGGCTGGTATTTCTAAATTATGGTCTCACCCCATTTACCTCCCAGAGCAATGCATCGGAGACATTGAAGCTTATTGGTCAAGCGGTAAATGAAGCCACTTCCTCATTGATGCTCAGCTTTTGTTTCATTTTGCAGTAACCATGGGGTCGGTGCTGGCTCTGCCCCGGTCCTATCTGGGAAGGATAGGTCTTCTGGTCTTGGGCTCTAGTGGGAGGTGCTTGTGGGCCTGTCTCAAGTGACAGGGTCCTTGGGGAGCTGAAGGCAGGCTGCCTCCAGCTGTGTGATCAGGTCAGTCTCTTGCAAGGAGCCTCCGGACGCTCTGCATGAGGGCGCCTCAGAGGTCACAGTGCAGGCATTAGGTGGAAAGGAAGGCACTCCACCTTCTCCTGCCCTCCTGAGGCCTTCCTCACAGTGCTGGGTCTGTACCCTTTGGGCCCGCCATCCCCAGGGGCCTCAGTTCTCCACTTGGACCCTTCTGTGAAGGACGACTCCTCCCCCTGCCTGGAGCCCTCTCTGTTCACAGCCTTCCCTGGGCTCCCGTCCCAGGGCTCCAGGGCCACAGCTGCTAGAAAAGGGGCTGCCGCTGTTTCCACCTTGGCTCTGAAGAAAAAGAGCTCCCTCCTGTGAAACTGCACTGCTGTCCCAGTGAGCCCGGGGCTGGCCAGGTTTCCCATGCATCCTTGCCCCCGGCTCCTCCCCTAGCCTCCACGGCTCCGCTGTGGTTCTGAGGCCTCCAGACTGGACCCCGCAAACTGCTTAGCTTAACCTGATTCTCCTCTCGCAAGGCTCTCGGTGGTTCTCAACCCTGGATGTGTACCAGGAGGCAAATTCCAGGGCTCCATTCCTAAGTATACTGATTTCCTAATTTGGGGATGGATCCTAGGCACCTGTATTTATTTTCTGTAGCAGTCACAGAAATGAGAATGCCTCAATCTCATGATTAATAAAATCATTTGTTACATGATTAGGTCTAACTACTGTTTTCAGCACTAAGAACTACAGGAAGTAGAGGCACAGTTTGTTAGCCTTCTCACTAGTCTCTCCAAACCCCCTTAAGTAGAGAAGAACATACAATGTATGTGCATTCCACGATGACAACGGCCAAGTTTTATTTGATACGCACATTAAAACTGTCATCAGCCTCCTTGGTGGCACAGGGGTTAAAGACAGCGCTATCAAGCTATTGGCAGCCTCTGCAGCACAAGTTCCATCCCCAGCCAGGGAGCAGCCCACATGGTGCAGCAGACCTCTCCTGTCTCATCTGCTGCTCCCCTCAGCAGTGTGTTTCAGTAGGTCCTTCTGTTCCGTTGCCCACTCTGACTTTGGTGAATCCTCTCAACCCCCACATCTCTGGCCTTTACCCCAGTTCTTGTATGCATAAATAGATCTTTAAAAAAACAACAAACTGGAATCATCAGTAATGACCAGGAAATAAACTCCTATTATCACTCCAGCATATATTCACAGTTAAAACTTCCAAAGAACATAAAGACAGAAAGCACTGGATATCTGACTACTGTTATTCCCAGGAGTACTGCACAGATGTTTAAGCAAACAAGCGGGTTTCTTAAAGTCTTACCCATAAATATGTACCTTAATTAGGCCAACAAGTTCAAGTCAGCAGGAATAGGAGTCAGGACACGGGCACCTTGTTTTTAGTCAATGGCGTGGCCACCGAGCTAAGTAATGTCCACTCTCCTGCACTTCTCCTAATCCTATTGTTGTTGTTCTTTTTTTTTTAAGATTTATTTATTTATGCATACAAGAGCTGGGGTACAGGCCAGGGATGACGGGGGTGACAGGATTCACCAGAGTCAGAGTGGGGAACAGAACAGGATTCACCAGAGTCAGAGTGGGGAACAGAACAGAACAGAATGACCGAAATACACTGCTGAGGGGAGCAGCGGGCGAGACAAGAGAGGTCTGCTGCGCCATGTGGGTTTCTCTCTGGCCGGCCAGGGATCGAACTCGTGCTGCGGAGGTTGCGGATTGCTTCACAGTGCAATGCTTAACCCCTTGTGCCACCAGGGAGGCCCCTGTTGTCCTTCTTCCTTAGTAGAGTCAGCTCAGGTCAGGGAGCATAGTGGTGAGCTCCCTTCACTGTGACTTCTGGGGGGCAGACTTCTGGGGTCACAGATGGGCTTTGTGTCAACACTCAAACAGAGCTGATGCTTTTCTCCCTCCAGAGAGAAAGTTGCAAGGAAAGGACTTCCACTGTTGTATAGTACCCATGCTATCACTGTTAAAGCAATTTTTTCATTTACAGGCTGTAGTGGTGATCGTGCTGAGACTTAACCCCTAGGCACCAGGAAGGCCCCAAATCCTCATTTATTTTTACATGGAATTAGCCTATAAATTCTCTAAGTGAGCTTCTTTAAGTGAGCTGAACACTGAGAGTCTTAGACAAACACTACAAAACACTAATCCCAAGCCACATCACATATTCTCTCTCCAGTTTTGTAAGGAGTGGGGAGTAGGGGGAAGCACACGTGGAAGTGCCCATACTTGTCCAGAGAGTTCAGGGAAGGCTTTGAGAGGCAGTGACATTTGAACTGTGTCCTAAGGAAAAGCAAGTTCTCGGGGGTGACATGATGCTTGGTGAAGAAGGCGTTACAAGGAGAGGAGACATTAAATACAAAGTACTGAGGCTGGAAAGAATATAATGTGCTCAAGGAAGTACACGGAATTTGGGTTCAGCTGTGGAAGGGGTTTCTGGGGTGGTGTGGGGGGACCCGTCTTCGAAGTCATGGTGACTTTGCTTGAGGGCCGAGGAAAGCCCCTGAAGGATTTTAACAAGGGTGATAACATGATTTTTTAAATATATATATTTTTAATATGTTCAAACTCAAATTCCCACAGATACTAAAAAAATTGACTTTCATTTTCTATGATGCAGCAGAAATTTACAACAGGGGTTGAGACTCTGAAGCTGGCACTCACTCTGTAACTTTTCAGATCGGTGGTATGCACAAGGGCTCAGTGCCAATCCACTTTCCTTCTAGTTGGTGTCCTGTACTGAAGTGGCCAGAAAGCAAAACACTACAATCCCCAGACTCCCTTGCAGCAAGAGTGCCAGGTGGGAATTGGGTTCCACCCTCAGATGTACATGAAAGAGTTAGAAGGTGGTCTTGAGGCGGAGGCTGACCCCTGCTTCTTCTGCTCCTCCTCTGTAGGAAGAGGCAGTTAGTGGGGGTCCAAATTCAGTTACTACTGGCAGGCGGGAGCTTTTTTTTTTTTTTTTTTTTTGCCAATACACACCCTGGAGACATGGAGTAGCTCTAGGCCAATGTTATAGTGAATGATTCTTAACTTTCCTCCTCCTGAGTAGAGCCAACATAGCGCTTCCAGGAGAGGCCCCAGAAGTCATTTCTGCAGGCCTCGCCTAGAGCCCCTCCAACAATTTCGGTAGCGTCTCATTGCCTGTATCTAAGCACTTTCTGTTGAAAGGCGGTGCCACTCTCCGTGCCTGGGAATCACATTTCCTGCCCCAGTGGCCTCAGTCACTGCAGGTGAAGCTGAGGCTTCTCTGTGAAGTCTGGGGGGATACGTGGTGTCTTCGGTTTCCAAGGAGGGAAAGATTCCAAGGTTGGGGCAAGATGTCCCCCAAACATAGAAAAAGATGCAAATCTGGATCATCAAAAAGAATGACAAAGGTCTCCAATGATCCACAAAAGTCCTTTATTCTGTATTTCCCCAAGGATGGTATGTGAATAGGGGGTGGTTGTTTATCTGCTCTAAACGATCAAAGCTGCAAAAGTTCAGAGTCCAATGGGAAGTGCTCTGAGTTTCTACAACCTTCTCTCCCCCCTCATCTGAGACACAGCAGTGGCCAGGAATTACTGCACCTCAGGAACAAGTCCCAGGAAGGCAGGGGTTCAGCACTGTCTCTGCAAGAAACGTAGGCCCACCTTCTTATTTGGAACCAGGACAATGCGGGCCATGTCCTTCACCTCCCCTGTCTCGGGGGCCAGCACCACCTCGTACTGCTGGATCAGCTGGAAGGTGAGATGCACACAGAAGTGGGTGTCTTCCCTCCCCCAGGCATGCCTTCTTCTGCACACCCCCACCCGGTGACTCCCTTCCTCTCCTCCCAAGGCCTCCTGTACCCCTCCCTGGCCCCCTACGCCCGCCTGCCTCTCCGCACTCACTCTTGTCAGCAGCAGGTGCATCTCCAGCTCTGCAATCCTCCGGCCCACGCAAGCCCGGACCCCGTAGCCAAAGGGCACAGAGCCAAATGGATGTTTGACCTTGACGGTGTCAGATTCACTCTTCCTCAGCCAGCGGTGGGGCTGGAAGCTGTCTGGCTCAGGGAAGACACTAGAATCCCTAGACACCGTAAAGTGGCACAGCACAAACTGGGTCTGTAGAGGAAGAACGAACAGTGCCTCAATGTAGGGCTACGGGGAACCCCTGGGAACCCAGCTCTCAAGCCCCACTCACGTTTTTGGGGAAAATGAAACCACCAACTTCAACCTCTTTTTCTGTGATAACCCGGGAGTTCACGGGGACCACAGGGTAGAGCCTGCAGGGAAAAGAAAATGCCCTCTGTCTCTGGACCCATGGAGAGACAGTTCCCACCCCTTCAACCCCCTCTCTCTGGCTCTCCAGGTGCTCCTTCTCATCTCACCCTGGCCCCAGCCCCAGTCTACCAGCCCTCCTGGGTTGGGGAATTCAGAAGTCTCCCCCGCAGAAACATTAGGCTCCCAGGGACACCATCCTACCGCAGGGTCTCTTTAATCACAGCTTTAAGCAAGGGCATGCGGGCAATGTCCTTGTACTGGGGCACCTTTCCAGCTGGCACCACGCTCACCACCTCCTTGTACAAGGCGGCCTGGATCTCTGGATGCTTGCAAAGGTGGTACAGGGCCCAAGTCATGGTGTTGGAAGTCTGGGAGGTAGAATAAGAGGTGAGATGATGGATTTCTAGAAAAGGGGTCAGCTAGATAGAGGGTAGGGACATGAGAGGGTACATGCAAAATGTGGGGGAATCATTTCCCAAGAGTACAGCAGGATAAGACACAGGTGTTCACGGGGCCTCCAGGTTGCCTCCACTGTGGGATGAGAAACGACATGATAAAGTCGCTCCAGCAAGAAAGGACTGTAACAGAGAAACCCAGCATGACAAAGGGCTGCCAAGAAGTCCTTTGGAGAAGCTGAAGAAGCTGGTTGTGAGCAAGCTCTTCAATGCTCCCCTTAGATTACAGCAAAAGAGAGTAGGATTGGATGTGAGATGAAACCTCCCAGCTGTCAAAGAGGCTCCAGGAGGTCAGGAGATGGTAGAATCCCTTTTACCAAAGGGCCAGCCCCTGCCCTCCTCAGCGGGGCTCAATGATCCCCCAGTTTCCCTTCTAGTTCTACCTCCATGCCACAGAAGGGCGAAGGTCAGGATCAGGACAGGGGATAATGGGAAACTGGTTCAGGATGGGAGCCAGGAGCCCCTGTCCCCTCGACGCCTCCCGACCCCGGCTCACACACCGTGTCTACTCCAGCCAAGAGCAGCTCAGACAGGGAGCCCAGGGCTTCATTAAGACTGAGCTGTCCACCGGTCAGCAGGAAGTGCAGGTAACCAGATACCTGGACCCCCTCTGGCCCTTTTGTCTGGAGCTGGGCCTCCATCTCCTTGAGTTTTTCATCAATCATCTTCTTGCCTACAGCGAGCATGGAGAATAGGAGAAGACAAGGTCAAAAGGCATGCCTTCCAACGACCAGCAGGCATGAGGGAGAAAGTCCTGGGGGTGACTGCTAATGCACAGACCCTAAGACCCACACTCCAACTTCTTCCCTTGGAGTTCTCACCAAAAGAGAAGATGTTGTTCCAGCCATCCAGGTATCGGCTCCAGAAAGGCAACAGAGGACGGGTCCATTTGGGGAGAAAGGTGACATAGACTGAGTTATAGAACATGCGCTCAACCGATTTGATGAAGGACAACGTGTCCTGGGGGATGGAGCGTTGCAGGCAGCCAACACGTTTCTCAAACAGGATGTAGCAAATAGCTGGCGGGGAGCAGAGACCATTACAGATGCAGAGCCATGGCACGTCGGGTTTCGAGCTGGGGGAGCACAACCCCTGACCCATGCCCACCCCACCCCCTCCCCAGCAAGTACCTTCCAAGGCGAAGTTGTACAGTTGCTGAGCCATGTCAGACACCTGGTCCCCCGAGGCACTCTCTGCCCTTGTGAGGTTCAGCTTCACCATGAAGTCATCAATCACCTCGTTCACAACATTTGCATAGAGCGCAGCCTCCGTTGGCTTCAGCATCCTCTGGTTCAGAACCTGGCGCAGCCGGTACCAGTTGTGCCCCTCCCTGGAGGAGTGGAGGAGAGGCACACATGTAAGAATCTGACAGGGGTTAGAGTAGGTGGTGCCTTTCCACCCTGGGGCAGTCTAGGAAAAATCTGCTCCTAGATTTGCAACGATGGAATCGCCAAACTTTCATTTTTTTAATATTTTTTTGTTTGTTTTTAAGATTTATTTATTTATTTATACAAGCACTGGGTACAGTCAGAAGCACGGGAGGGTGAGAGAATTCACCAGAGCCAGAGCGGGGAGCAGAACAGGCAGACTGACAAGGTACACTGCTAAGGGGAGCAGCGGGCAGCAGGAGAGGACTGTGTGCCATGTGGGACCCTCACCGGTGGCCGGGGATCGAACCGGCGCTGCCCAAGCTGCGGGCAGCTTCACAGCCCAGCGTTCAACCACTGCGCCACCGGGGAGGCCCACACCAAACTTTCAAATAACAGAATCTTTGAATCACAACACTTCAGAATCTCAATTCAGTGGAGTGCAAGTGGTTAAGGTGGGCATCTAGAACCGGACTGCCCAGGGTCAAATCACAGGTCTGGCTCCCAGCTGAGCGACCTTAGGCAGGTGGCCCAAATTCTCTGTGCCTCACACAGAAAGAGTGACTAATCTTAGCAAGGTTGTTCAGATAATTAAAGAGGTTAGTGCCTTGCACAGGGTGAATGCTTAACAAATGGCAACTACGATTATGGAATCAGACAGTTCCAGAATCTACCATATGTGAGATGAGGAGTTGTAGTGCTCCCAGTGGAGGATGAGGGTTAAAGGAGGAACAAATTTGGGTTCCTGAGGTGCTGAGATTCTGGACCTTCACGGTCCGCTTGGCTCAGTGGGACAAGGGGACAAGGAAATCCCCCAGGCTATTCCCCAGGCTCTCTTGCCACAGCCATCCAGCAGGTGACTAGGCCCCCAGCCTAGTTAGTCAGGGATGCACTTGTGGGTGGGAGCATGCTTCCCATAGGGTGCTTAATAATGGTTAGGGGCCGCCCCACTCTCAACTGTTCCCAAATCTGTTACCTTTCCTAAGGAAGCTGGGTATGAGTAATTTTTTTAAAAAACTGCTTGTAGAGTAATAAGTACAGTAAGGTCCAATGTTAAGAGGAAGAGGGAACCCCTGTATATCACTATGTATATCTGCGTGTTTCTACATAAAGTAGGGAGGAATACACACCACACTGTCAGAAGGCACCAGGTGTAGGAAGACTCCACATTTCAGTTGGGATTTTTACAGTAAGTTATTACTTTTTCAAATAAAAAAACAATACAGTATTTTTTAAAGAAATATGTTGAAAAATCTTAAGGCAAAAAATCACACTTTTTATTTTTAAAAATTATCTATTTAAATGAACCTCAAATACCAGGAGTTTTATTACATTGGGGAAACCCTACAAAAAAATGTTCCTGAAGACCAGAAATAAATCCATTTATTGGAACTTAAATGAGAGCATGTCTGTGGTGGCTAAAATATTTTTTTTAAAGATTTATTTATTGATTGATTGATTGATTGATTTATACATACAAGCACTGGGTACAGTCAGAAGCGCGGGAGGGTGAGAGAATTCACCAGAGCCAGAGCGGGGAGCAGAGCAGGCAGAAGGACCGAGGTACACTGCTGAGGGGAGCAGCGGGCGGCAGGAGAGGTCTGCGCGCCATGTGGGACCCTCCTCCGGTGGCCGGGGAGCAGCGGGGATCGAACTGGCGCTGCAGAGGCCGTGGGCAGCTTCGCAACCCAGCGCTCAACCGCTGCGCCACCGGGGAGGCCCTAAAATATTTTTTAAGAAAGCAACATTTCATAAAATGAGACTTTAAAATATATGTTAAAAATAAAAGAAATCATCATAGATTTAAAAAATAGCTTATAAATACATACACATGGTATACTATATTTAGGAAACTGGTTTTAGCATGACACGGTATAAACAGATCACAAAGGGATGAAGATGCAGTTTAGCTGCAAGTCTAAATCTGAGCTGTCAAGTCCAGAGGTAGCCTGGCCTGAGACCCCAATCTTGACCTCAGGGCCAGATATCAACTTAAAGAGCTCTTGGAGAACAGACATTCTCAATTCTCGTCCCAGAAATTTGGCTAAAAGGCCCAGGAATTATTGTTTAAGTTCTGAAACTGTTCACCTGTGAAGAAATCAAGAAAAGGTAAGAAAACATGCTATGGGAGAAGGAATGAATAGGCATCAGAGACAGAAATCAACCCTCCAACCAGCTCATTTTTTTTTCCAAAAGTGTCCAGGCAGTCCCTTCTTGAATTCCAGAATCAGGGTGTTCTCTAGTACCACTGCTTGTTCACTCACCTCTGATGCACAACCTCTCTAAGTCTCAATTTCTTCATCTCTAAAATGAGTATAATAATGTTACCTTATTTCATGGACTTGTGAGGATAAAATGAAATAGTAAATGTGGAGAGACTAATTTGATGTCTGGCAAAGTCACAGACATAGTTATTATCTAGTAACTCTACCAGAATCCATTTTAATCCCTTAAGAAGTGACCAAGACTTTGATGTCATGCAATCAGGAAAAGTAAAAAGCCAATCATTGTTTTGGGAACTCTGTTAACATGTGATAGCAAAAAGAAGCCTGGAATATACCCAGTTACAAACTGATGAGGAATGGTTATCATCAATGATTCTCATTTATTGACCTCAATCAGCTATGTATATATAACACATTCAGCCCATCCTTCAATTTATCACTGTCAACATAATCTTAACGTTTCTAGGTAAAACCTCAAGGCTGAAACCAATAGCTATCTCTCCATGTAGAAAACATCCATGGGAGTGATATCCAACAAGACATAATTATACAAGACATAATTTGGGAAATATTTGCCACTTTAAGTTGAGCACTCCTAAATAGTATGAAGATGATGTGTTTTCACCAAGTAGTAGGTATGACCCATTATTATTTGAGTTGGTATACTTTCAACCATAATATAGAATAATAGAAAAGTTCTCAGAGATAATATAGAATATAATTATAATTATAGAATATAATATAAAATAATAGAAAATTCTCAGAGATACCTTGGAGATACTCTAGTCCAAACTTTCCACTTTACATATGAGAACTATAAGACCAAGGAAGGGAAAGTGATTCCTTTATCCAAAATCATACAATATATTAGTAGAAAAGCCAAAGAAAGGTCCCTGGGCTTCAGCCCATCCCAACCACTGCTTGCTAGACACTCAGACTCAGAGCATATAGGGGCATCCTATTCTATTCATTATCCACTGGTTGCCCAGTGCCACTAGCCTTGGGCCTGGTTCTGTGGGGCCCTGTTCCAGTCCCTGCAGGCCCCAGCTCACGTGGTTAAGGGCCCATAGGCCAAGCCATGCTGGTCCCGATGTGCCTTCCATAGTTCCATGTCGTTCCGTACAGGATGCTTGCCCTCTTGCCGCATGACTTGCTCCAGGAGTGGGGCACTGGCCAGGTTCACCATGGTTCGAGGTCCTGTGTGAGTTACCCATATTGGACCATACTTGGCCTTGTGCAGCACCTGTGGGGTTCAACCAAAGCTGAATAATCATGGCCCAGTCAGGCAGGCACTTCCTGGAGAAGAGATGGAATGGAGGCGTGTGTGGCCACACCAGAGCAAGTGGGCTGGGCAAAAGTGCACTGTATAGCAGGTAGTCACTAGGATGTTGTGTAGTTCCAAAAAGAACACTAGAAAAAATGGGCACACAGAAGTTGAATATTGAGAGAAATGAGTCTCTGGTGGAACTGTAGGAACTGAGGTCCTTGGAGGAATGAGATTTGGAAAAAGGGGACACATGGCAAAATGGGGAACATTCAGCAGTAAATATTTAAAGTCCAGGGCTTTAGGGGAACTGAGACCTTTAGTGAATTATATGCCCATGGCTCCTTCAGAGAAGCATTTAAATCTATTGCAGCTTACTGTCAATGAGATGAAGATAAATATCTCATGTAACCAACAAGAAAAAAGAAACATGATTAGAAACTCCAGGAAAAACAAGAAGATGAATGGGAAAGTCAGGATCTAAATATGAAATGAACCATGTGTTATGAAATTGTAAAATGTACTAGTTAAGTAATGTAATTCTCTGAATTTTTATAGATTATAGATTTAGAGTGGGCCCTGGTGATGTTCATCATTGCAAATATTTCTATGGGAGCAAAGCATAAACTAGACACTATTTCAAACACTTGACTACATTAGCTCATTTATTCTTCACTACAACTGGATGAGATAGGTTTAACATTATCAAAATTTTGCAAATGAGGAAACTGAGGCCCAAAGAGGTTGGCCCAAGGCCAAGGTCAGTTTACTAGTAAGTAGCAAAAGTCAGGGTTCAAACTTCAACCACTTGACTGAAGGCCATGTTCTCAATCAACTACTCCACTGTTTTCTGAGAAAACATGTCTTACTAACCAGAAAAAACTAGGCACTTTAAAAACATATGCTATTTAAAACCAACACAACTATGCAAAGCCAAGGTTTCTCCAGGCACTGTTGACAGTTGGGGCTGGAAAATTCTTTGTTGTGGCAGTGTGTCCTGTACATTGTGGGAGATTAAGCAGTATTCTGGTCTTTACCCATAAACACCTTCATTTCCAAATTGTAGCAACTAAAACATCTCCAGACATTGCCAAGATGTTCCTGAGGAGCCAAATCACCCCAGGCTTTGAACCTCTAGAATAATCCCAACCTCTTAATATGGCTCTTATTTAATTTTAGAGGACTCTTTTCAAGAGACAATATCTCATTTTGAAGAAATATTTACTGAATGTTGGATTTCTTTTCCTTCTGTTAAGTTCAAATAAAATTAATTGTAATTTATAATGTCTTATTAATTTAATTATAATTTAAATTAAATTATAATCTATAATTTAAACTGAGTCACAGTATACTGGGATTTAATTATTTTTATTTTTTGCCATGATCTTGGAATTCAAAAAAAAAATGTCATGTTTTAAAAGACTAGCTCAATCACCATTTACTTGGGCATCAGCTTCTTCTGTGAAATCTAAAACCTCTGACACCACATGCTGGCTGTCAGTTTGGAGGTTTCCAGGATATGTCCCCTTTTTCCTAGACCTTGCTTTCTGCCCTCTTCTTTCATATTGCTCTTCTCAGTTAGTTTACTTGGTAGAACTTAACAAGGATCTATTTATGTAAGAACTTATTTTAGAAAGACACCAGGATACTTGCTGAGAGATTTGTACTGCGTCTTGAGCCTACCATTAGGTTGTAATCTGAGCCAGTGAGACAGTCCCAGGGTTCTCAGAGAGGTCTTTCCCGAGTGCCACTTTGCAGAGCAGACCCCCTAGGGATCATCTTCCAGCAAGAAAGGGAGGGCTAGCTTCCTCCTAGACTCCAAAGAGGGAGAGGGCTGAGTTCCCCCAAAATTCTTTTATTGAGCTCAGATCTTGTTCTTCTTACACTGATCTAGAGGCTGGAGTCATGAGCACAGTCATGAGCACAGCAGAAAAGACCCATTCTTAGAGAATTAACATCCTAGTGCACTAGCCACACAGTGGAGAATGGGATTACATAGTCTCATAAATTGCTTCTTAGTTATTTTGCAGGATGCCTTGTCTCTTTCAGTAGACTGCAAATCTTTGAGGACAAGGAATCAAGTCACACTTCTTCATTACTTCCCATATTGCCTGACACACTGCTAGGCACATTATAGACACATGATAAATATTTAGCAGTTGTCAATAAATCAAATCGAAAAAAAATCATAAGCAATGTAAAGAATATGAGAGAGAGATAGGAAGGTGAGCAAGTGGCTACATAAGAAGCTGGTAACAGTGGCTCCACTGGAGTGGGCATTAGCTTTAAAAATCCAAAAGAAGAATCGAAAAGAGAAGTTAAGAAAATAATTCCACTTACAGTAGCAGCTGTTATGGACTGAATATTTGTGACTCCCCCAAATCCAAATGTTGAAGCCCTAACACCCCAGTGTGGCTGTGTTTAGAGACGGGTTCTCTAAGGAAGTAATTAGGATTAAATGAGCAATTTAGATTAAGAGTAATTTAGATTAAATAAACAATTAGAATTACCTCAAATTAAAACATTTACACAGTAACAGATTATATGAATAGATTAAAAAGACATTCTATTGAATAGAAGATACACACAACCAACAAGGGGTTAATATCTAAGGTATACAAAGGTCTCATCAACTCAACTGCAAAAGCCAAAGTAGCTCATTTAAAAAATGAACAGCAAATCTGAATAATTTTCCAAGGAGGATATCTAGAAGAACAGCAGATACATAGAAAAATGCTCATCACTTATATTAAGAGATATACAATTCAGAACCACATGAGATATCATCTCTCACCTGTGAGACCAAAAAGACTTCTAATAAGTGCTAAAGAGAGGATGTGGAGAAAAAGGAACCCCAATAGAACGTCAGTGGGAATGTAATTTGGTGCCACCATTTTGGAAAGTGGTCTGGACTTCACCTCAAAAAAAGTGGAGGTGACTCCCTGGTGGCGCAAGGGGTTAAGATGCAACCTATGAAGCTAGCCGCAGTAAATGTAGCATGAGTTCAACCCCCACCCAGGGAGCTACACACAAGGCGCAACAGACCTCTCCTGGCTCACCTGCTGCTCCCCTCAGCAGTGTATTTCAGTCAATCTGCCTGTTCTGTTCCCTACTCTTGTCTCTGATGAGTCCTCTTACCACCCACAACTCTGGTCTGTACCCCAGTTCTTGTGTGTATAAATAAATAAATGTTTTTTTAAAAAAGGTGGAAATACCATATCCATAGGTAGGGATATAGCCAAAGGGGGAAAAAAATCATCAACTCAAAAAACTATATGCTCCACAATGTTTATTATAGCATTATTTACAACAGCTAGGATTTGGAAACAACATAATGCCCACTGATAGAAGCCTGGATAAAGATGTGGTATATACACAACAGAATACTCTTCAGCTATGAGGAAAGACGAAATCTTGCCATTTATAGCAAAATGGAAGAAACTTGAGGGGATTATGTGCAGCAAAGTCATTCAGAGAGATAAAGACAAATTTGGAATTATTTCGCATGTGTAAGTAGCTTAAGCAAACAAAAAAACAGGTGAACTGACAAAGCAAAATAATTATAAACTAGTTAACATTGATAGCGGAACAGAAGTTTCTGAGGTTGAGGGAGGGGGAAGGGAGAAAGGATCGAAGGACTATAAGGAATGGGGGGGAATTATTTGTCATGCAATCTTTTGAACAGTTGTTTCACTTCTTTAACTTTTAGTTTCCTTAACCAAAATATGAATGGATTAGATTAGGTGCATTCTTCTATGTCTTAATTATTTGTATAGAGAGCTTAAACTATTTCCCCGGTTATAAAAAATAATGGAAGGAAGTTCAAAAATACCAAAATATATAGAGTAAAACAAACATTGCTTACTTAATAAAGAAAAGACAAGGTTAGGGTGAGGCAGGAAACAGATCCTACAGGGCTTTCTGGGCTGTGACAGGGGGGCTGGATTTTTTCCAGTGGCATGGATTTTTTTTTACCTCTCTGTTTAATTATTACTTTATTATTACATAATACATATTATAATTGTTTTGCAATAACCCCTTTACTTAAAACATTTTTCAAGCCAACAGTTAATAGGCCAATAAAGAAACATCAATTACGGGTCACTACATGCAAAGAATGAAGCTTGACTACTACCCATGTCATGTACAAAAAACAATTCAATGGGCCTCCCTGGTGGCGCAAGGGGTTAAGCACCGCATTATGAAGCAATCCACAGCCTCTGCAGCACGAATTCGATTCCTGGCCGGCCAGGGAGCAACCCACATGGCGCAGCAGACCTCTCCAGACTCGCCTGCTGCTCCCTTCAGCAGTGTACTTCAGTCAATCTGCCTGTTCTGTTCCCCACTCTGTCTCTGGTGAATCCTCTCACCCCCGCATCTCTGGCCTGTACCCCAGCTCTTGTATGAATAAATAAATAAATCTTAAAAAAAAACTCAAAATGGATTAAAGAACTAGACATAAGACCTGAAACCATAAAATATATAGAAGGAAATATAGGTAAAACACTGCATGACATATACTTCAGTATCATCTTTAAAGACACATCACCCAAAGTAGTGATAGTGAAGGAAAAGATAAACATATGGGACTACATCAAATTAAAGAGCTTCTGTACAGGGCCTCCCCTGGTGGCGCAGGCGGTTGAGTGCAGAGCTGTGAAGCTGTCCGCAGTCTCTGCAGCGCTGGTTCGATCCAGGCCGGCCGGCGAGGGTCCCACATGGCACGACCATGTGATGCAGGAGGGTGAGAGGATCCACCAGAGACAGAGTGGGGAACAGAACAGGCAGACTGACTGAAATACACTGCTGAGGGGAGCAGCGGGCGAGTCAGGAGAGGTCTGCTGCACCATGTGGGTTTCTCTCTGGCCAGCTGGGGATGGAACTTGTGCTGCAGAGGTTGAGGATTGCTTTATAGTGTGGTGTTTAACCCCTTGCGCCACCAGGGAGGCCCTCTTTTTTTTTTTTTAAAGATTTATTTA